CCCTGAGATCACATCAGACAGTGAGCTCAGGCTGGAGAGAAAATAGGAAGATCAATTCCAAGACGGAAGAAAAAACCTTAAAGAGAAAGATGCAATCCAGAGTCCAGCGTGGAGGGACCCTGGGGGGAAAGATGTGTAAAAGGATATTTGAAGCACAGGGGGCATCAGATACTTCAAGCCTTGAGCTTCACATTAAGGATTAAGGTACTTCTTAAGGAACCACATATGGACTGTATTGATGTCCTGAAGCTTCTGAACCAAATGTCTGCAAAGTACGTAGCTTAAAATAACAGAAATTCGTAGGCAGTCTCGGGGTTACAAATATCCAATTTACAGACAGCTCTTACTTTCCCTGCCATATTATGTAAAGTTTCTCTCCTTGTGTAAAGATGGAACTCACCCCGACTTGAAACCATTTCCTCATCACAATCACCTTCACTTCTTGCACATGTAGCTATTAAAAGGATAAATAAGTACCATAAGCACCTGTTCCAACTCACCTACAAAATCTACCTAAAGATTTTAAAAAACATCAGAGTAGGTTCTATATGAACCCCAGGGAATGCCTGTGTTCTTCCATGGTTGGTGAACGCAGGCCCATATTACGGGCATCAGCAAGGCTGCACTCTCTCCAGTGGCTCAGGAACATCCTTCTGTTAGCTCCAGGAGTTCCAATCTGTGATCGCCTCATCACATGGCTGTGTTGTTCAAGGACACCGCCATATTTGATAATAGCCCACCCTCCTCCAGTAGAAGGACAAACGAACTGATGATACCTGTGGAGATGTTTCTTCCCAAAAAGGTCCTATTTGTAGGCACCGGAAGTTAGAACTTCAACTTTTTTTTTTTTTAGACAAAGCTTAATCCAGTACACATTACTATCTTATATTTCTGTAGTTCAGAAGCTGCAAGATCTATTGCACTGAACTAATCCAAGGTGTCAGCTGGGCTACATTATTTTCTGGAGGCTCTGGGTGGGGGAGATGCTGTTTTCTTGCCTTTTCCAAATTCTCAAGGTTATCAACATTCATTATTTCATGGTCCCTTCTTCCAATTTATTAAATCCAAAGTATGTAATCTCTCTAGCCATAGTTGCAAGGTTCTCCCCTCAAGGCTCATTGGACTAGGTGGAACACACCTGAACAATACATGTCCGCCTGAGTCACATTTGGAACCTTAATTTCCTTTTGGCATGTAATCTAGCATGTTCACAAAAGCTAGAGATGGGGACATGAAAATCTTTGGAAAGCCATTATTTTGCCTACGGAACACAACTATGTGGAACATTGCTGGAAGATCATGGGAGGGGGAAAGGAAAGCCTTTCCCATTGGCTGTAACACATGGATGTGAAAGCTAGCTGTCCCAAGTGGTTGGATCAAGAAAACAGGATGAAATATTAAATCAGGGAGATTACAGATAGATTTTTCTCTTAAAAAATGACTGTGAGAAAGCTGGAAATAGAATTACTGGATCATTGTGAATGAAGCATTTGTTTTGTTGGAGGAATTGATGTCTATACCCTGTATCTACCTGGTTGGAGCAAGAGCTTTGTGGTCAAATCGCAAAGAGCCACTGTTCATGTCTTAAGCCTGAGAGAAAAAGACGGAGGAAATAATAGTAACAAATCAAAACCACTTAAGAAGAACCTTGTTAACTGAAAATATAAAAGTAAGATAAGTAGCAAATAGAGATCCAGAAAATCTTAATGTTCATTTCAATGTTTTTCCTTAATGATAATTATCATGTGGTTTTAGATAAACGTGTCCCAGAATAATTAATAATCTGATCATTGTGTACCTAATAAGTACTTGCTAGAAACTTGATGCTGGCGCAAGTAATATATTTCAAATCTGTTCCTATTACAAGCAAAATACCTCAAAAAATAGTCTGAGTGCAAGTGAGCATTGTACTTAAATGAGGATTCCTGCAAATATGAAGGAAAATAGGGAATCTAAATAGAAAACAATAATATTTATAAAATAATGAAAATATCATCATGAAAGAATGAGTGATTTTCTTGTTTCTGATACTGTTCTGAGTGTTGTGCATTAGCTCATCACACATTAGCTGTTTTGATCACCAAGACACCCCTGTAAAGCAGGTATAATTATCACCACTTTAAAAACCAGTGAAGTATGGCAGAAATTTAAATTTCGACCTTGACAGTATACATGTCTCAAACTACCAATAATAATAGGTAACACTCACCTAGAATCTTTTTGTGTCTGGGACTATCCTAAGTACCGTCCAGGTGTGAATCATTAAGTTTATGTGTGGTCAATGTTTGAGCCACAATTGACACCACGGCAGACGGACTCTGATGTCCAGTTTCACTATCCAGATAGCTGAAAGGGGAGGTGTTTGGAAGCCTATCCATGTAGACAGAGACATTACTGGTATTGTTTTCTTTTTTAAACCAAAGTATTATTGTTGTTGTTGTTACATATAAAAAACATTGATTTTAATGGACTTTTCAAACTTTACCTCTCAGAACTTCACCGTACCCTCCTCATATATTATTAAGTGAGTAAGTTTCCTTTTAACTACAAATCTCTAAAAATAAAAACTTCTCTCCTTGTCATGTGCCAAAAATGTTTTTATTCCTTTGGCAATTTTCTTTCATTGTATTTTTTTCAAGCCAGAAATTTGACACATTTTTATGATATTAATGATTATTGCATATGTTTGTTGTTGCCATTAAGTGCCCTCTAGTCGGTTCTGGCTTATGGCAACCTAATGTACAGCTGAAAGGTGTGCCATCCTTCCAATTCTTGTATATTTGAGCCCATTATTGCAGCTACTAGGTCAATCAATCTCAAGGGTCTTCCTCTTTGGGCTGTGCTTCTGTTTACCAACCTTGATGTCATGGTCTATGGACTGGTACCTCCTGATAGCATGTCCACAAAGGATGTGAGGTGAAGTCTACTTATCCTTGCTTTCTGGCTGTACTTCTTCCAGAACAGATATGTGGCTTCTTTATTTTTATTGGACACATGGTATATTCTAGCTGTTAGGCTAAAGCATTGCTCACTTTATTTTACTCATATTTGCCCAAGTTTTGCTTTTAATGATGATCACTCACCCTTAGAGTTAATCTGGATTGTTTGCTTTATGTATGAGTATGGAACGAAGATAAATAAGGGGCAGGTTCTTTTAAAAACAACTTCCAGACCACCCTTAGAGGTATTTTCCACGCTAGGATCTTGCTCTTTTGTGTTGCATACAATGTCCAAAGGATTAATTTAGAATTACTGGTCAGAGGGAGACATGACGCGCCATTGATTCCTGTTGGGTGTCATCAAGTCGGTTCTGACTCATAGCACCCCTAAAGACAACAGAAGGAAGGGCACACTGCCTGCTCCCTCACCAGCTCACAATCGTGTTCCGTGGGAGCCCATTGTTGTGGCCACTCTGTCAGTCCATCTTGCCGAGGTCTTCCTTCCTTCCTTGCCCAGCTACTTTACCAAGCATGATGTCCTTCTCCGGGGATTTGGCTCTCTTAACAACCTGTCCAAAGGATGTGAGACAGAGTCTCACCATCCTTGCCCCTAAGGAGCAAAATGACTGAAAAAACCCAGGCAAGGGGATACCAGATGTTGGGTGGTTGGAGGGAGGGAAGGAGGGGTGTTCTGACCTTGAGAAGCCAAAACATTGCAGGGAGTTCAGCAGCAGAGTTTAGAGAAAGCATATCAGATGTGGAGAAGTAAGCAGCCAAAGTTCATGGAAGAAGTTATTCAAGAAAAATAAATAAGTGACCCAGCAGTTCTACTCCAATTTGATCATAAATTGCTGGGACTGAGCTCATCGTGCAGTTGCTCCTCATTTAGAAAGTTACGGAAATGGCTACTATAAAAAGCATGATTTTAGAAGTCTTATAAAATCATGCAGCCTCACCTTTGGCTTCTCTACAAATATGAATTGCCTTAGATAGAGGCCATGTTAGGCCCATTTTTATTTCATCCCAGAATAAGATTTAAGAACCATCATTCTGCTAATTACCTCTACCGGCTTTCAAGAAAACCATTACTTGTCTAACTATTTCTGCATCAAATTAAACTCCAGTTTGTGCTCAAGGAAGAAGAAAAGGGAATCACCATGCTCCTAAAGGACCTTAATATTTCTAGAATATCACCAAGTCACCTCAGAGCCTCTCTTCTCCTTCTGATGTGATACCTTTAGTTTTTCTAATGAGAATAGAGATACCAGGAGCACTAGGGGAAGGTGTGGGGAGACGGGGGAATCGATCACAAGGAGCAACATATCATCCCCTCTCAGGAGGACAAACAACAGAAAAATGGGTGAAGGGCGACAGAGGATGATGTAAGATATGAAAATAATAATCTATAATTTATCAAGGGTTCATGAGGGAGGGAGGGTGGAGGAGGGAGAGGGAAAAATGAGGAGCTGATATCAAGGGCTCAAGTAGAAAGAAAATACTTTGAAAATGATGATGGGGCCATATGGGCAACTGTGCTTGACACATTGGTTAAATATATGACTCATGATAAGAGCCCCCAATAAAAGTATTTAATTAAAATAGATCTCTTAAAATGTCTGGTTTTCTTCCTAAACTACATGTATGTAATGTAGCAGAAAGTCAAGTATAATTTATAAGACTCATAGTAGTGTACCATACAAAAATTGACCAGCATCCTTAATAAGAAGTGAAGAAGGAAAAGGCTGTGTCCACAGTCGGAGATATTTTGCAAATATCAAGGAATCCCCAGGCAACTTAACTTTCCGTGAAAAATCTATAGAGATATTTCTTCCTTCACTTTGAGTCTTAATCTTTAAGAACATAACAATCGTGGTAGCATTCTGATTAAGAACAATTTTGAGGACGAATGGGGTATCATTTGAAAATGTTTGAGACTTCTGAATCATGAATCTTAAATCTGTGCCCACATACTATAGTTATTAATAAAGTGATTGGATTATTCATTTTAATCCGTGTTTGCAATTATTAAAATGGTCTAACCCTTTCCTGTATTTTTCACAGAAATGTAACCTGGAATAGTCTAGCGATCCCAGATACACATTGCTCCCCAGAACTGGAAGAAGGCTACCAGTGCCCGCCAGGATTCAAATGCATGGATCTTGAGGATCTGGGACTTAAGCGGCAAGAGCTGGGTTACAGCGGCTTCAACGAGATAGGTCTGTTTTACTGGTCCACCACATTTTCATTTTTTATTTTAATATGCATATGGACTAGGGATAATTGTTTTTTACTTGATATTTCAAGTTAATACTGTTTAAGTAACACAAATGTATATTTAATTATATGTCTATATTGTATGCCTACTGTACCCCATAGCCTCAAACGTCAATCTTAATGTTAAGTTAAATGTGTCTGCTTTAGACTTTTAATTACAGCATTTAAGAATATTGTTGAACAAGGTCTAGAGATTTCCAATACACAAATCCACAATGCTTTTCTAAGTCACTGTCTCATAGTCGGCCAGGTAAGTCATAATCCTTGTAATGCCTGGGCAGGAGGAGTTCATGGAAGTTGAAAACTACTTCAATGGCAATAGAGGAGAGCTGAGGAAAGGATTCCTTAATAGCATTAATTTACATGCGAGGAACAGGATGAAAATGGGGAAAAGGAAGGATGTAGGGTGGGGAGAGGACACAAAATGGATGGTTTAGCTTGAAAAAAATAAACAAATATACAAAATTTATACAAATGTGTATACAAATTATATATCAATGTACTCGAAGTAAAATTGCTCCATGGGAGGCAGAAAAACCCCTGTCAATTCCTGACCTCTTTGGTAAGCGTGAGAGAGGCTAAACAAGGACGAACAGTAAAACTGAAGGGGGCTTGGCATTTTAAAGATATACAAGTTCATTTCAAATACAGAAAAAGATCAACAGGTAAGAGATGTGGGGGAAACACTTGTACGCGACTAGGATTGCTAACATGTGTACATTTCTTCTTGATTTGTCCTCTTCGCCTCTGAAATCTTGTGCCAATGCACACAGTAATGAATTAATTTGGCCTTTGTCACTTAGACAATACGATTCTATTTATTACAATTGCATTCAACTGTACATATTCATTATTAAAACAAAAAGCCTATTGAATTCTAAAAACTAATGTAACATTTTGAGAATACTTATTAGACTCATTAAAAACATTAGATTATATGTGTTTAGAAGCCAAGTAAAGATTTCCTGACTTTTCATATGATTTTAAACCTCAATGGGTGAGCAGTACATTGGAGGCTTTCATAATCAGGGAAGTGCCAACAGCCTCTGGCCTCTGCGGATGGCATATGTTGAGTGTAGCCATTAGACTTTCCAACATCACAACAACCACCTGATGAATTCTTCTTCCAATCTAGCTCCATTGGTTCCAACTTCAGGATGGTGTTATAAAAAATGGTGTAACAGACTCTGAACTAGTACTGAAGGTGCAAAAAGAATAAGTGAAGGTCTTGAATCAACTGAGGCATATTCTTCTGATATATTAAGTAATTGAAAGGTCACACTCTGTATATTGAATGTACTATTGAAGTTTGGCTGAAAGCACAAATAATTTATTTTTTTAGGTGAATTAAAAAAAATTCTCTTTACAGTTTTATATTCAAAGAGGTTCTCATACTAAAAACAAAGTGAATTTCCAGCATTGTAGTTACTTATAATCTTTTTTCTCTCTTTTTTTTAGTTTATTTTACTTATTTATTTTTAATAGTTTTATTAGGGGCTCATACAACTCATCACAATCCATACATACATCAATTGTGTAAAGCATATTTGTACATTCATTGCCCTCATCATCCTCAAAACATTTGCTCTCCACTTAAGCCCCTGGAATCAGCTCCTCTTTTTTTCCCCTCCCTCCCTGCTCCCCCCTCCCTCATGAGCCCTTGATAATAATAAGTGATACACATTCTACTTCTCCAAGAAACAAGAAGCCATTAGGTGTGGAGCCTTTCAGTTAGCTCTACTCCCTTAGATATATCCGTCTTTGTAAACAATTTTACACCCTTTCCTCTGTCTCAAAAGCAGAGATCTGTCTGAACTGCTCCAATGCTTTTCAGTGATGGAGAAGGAGACGAGATATACTGATCCAGTTAGCTGCTTTGAAAAAGTTCCAGCAATTCTAACAGGGGGGCACAGTGGTGCATGGACTTTGCATAGTCACCAGCCTTTCCTTTTAGGTGCTAACAGGCTGAATCCATATGTCCTGCACTCAGAGGATGATCTGAAGACCTTGTAGAGCAGAAGGTCCTGAGAAAACAGTTCCCAGAACACTTCCCTCTAATCCTTTAGAATCATATTACTCAAGCAAAACATGCTCTGACCATTTAAACGAAGCAAGGGCACCAACATTCAAAAGGCAGCATTACACTCAAGTGATATCATCTTTCTTTACTGTAACTTATAATAACTTATAACTAACTTTAGCTAATTAGGGTGTGATCTTCCTCTTCCACAATAAAGTCTTCCTTCAAAGAGGACCACAGCTAGAAGAAATTTGTCCCTGGGCAATGACCCTCACTAAAGTAGTGATCTTACTGTAGTTGGATTGTTTATTTGCACATTTATCTACTTATCTCTGAAGGACTTAGGCTCCTGGAAAACAGGAAGGGTGTCATTTCATCTCATGTCTCCAGGGGATACCGTTGGCCCTAGATCACATGGTATCCTCTGTCAATATTTACTGATGAACAGAGCAACGCTTATCTACTTGTGAATTCATTGGTAACTAGTCATATTTGTGTTAGAGCCATAATTGAGTTAGATCCATGATAAAAAGTAAATCGTGTCCATGTTATTCTTGTTCCTCAGATTGTCTGTTTGTACTGGCAGTCTCCGTTAGCCTTGGAGCTTTCCATTGAAGCCTAATGTGGTTTTGCCCACATTTTTATTCTCTTGTGATGTCTTGATCCATCATCATTGTTTGACTAATGATTAAATAATGAAATGTTGACTTTGGACTATAATCAAAAAGTTTAAAATGAGCACTATAGTTTATATTGAAGTTGATAGTGACTGCCTAATGTTAATGTGTCTCTATCGCTAGACCAACAAGAGATAATCTTCTATGACATTTTAAAAAATACAGCTCTGATGGAAGCAAAAGCCAATGCTTCCTTAAAAATAAGGAATATAAATTTATTATTAGATATATGTGGTTATTTCTATATGTCCACCATTGATTTAAACCATAATTAGATGCCTAGTTATGTATATCTATATACTCATAAAAAGAAATCCAATTAAATCAATTATTCAAATGTACACACTAACTACTAAAGCTAATGATGAAATTAAATAATTCTATTAATATCTTCAGTCTGAAATTGATCAAACATACAAGCAAGATTCATTGGAACTTATTGGTGATTAAAGTGTGAAAGTTGGAGTCCAGAGGAAAGATTAATAGTGAGAAAAATACTGGCTACAGGATAATAATGAAGCAAGAGATCAAATGGTAGAATTTGATAAAATCAATAACATCTTCACTGAAAACACTTTTTTTAAAACTAACATAAATGGGACCGTACACATGAGTTCACAAGATGGAAGACAGGAATCCAATTGGCTACATCTGTGGGAGACCATGGGGAAGCTCAATCAGCAGCCGCAATGAAGCCAGGGCCCCATTGTGGCACAGGCCATCACGTGCTCAAATCAAAGTTCAGGTAGAAATTGGAGAAAAACTGTAAAAGTCTATGAGAGCCAAAACACACACTTGAGTCTGTCCCACCTGAATTTTGAGAGTACCACAAAAGTAAATTTGACTCATTGGACACCAATGACAGAAGACGCAATGGGCTGTGGGAGGACAATTGAACACCATGCACATGGAAAGCAAAAGATCACTAAGAAGAAAAGAAACACAGGAAATATCAAAGTGGAAATAAGAAGAGACTGAAACGGGCTCTTGATAATAGAGTAGCTCGAGCAAATTGAAGAAATGATAAAGTGAAAGAACTGAAAAAAATTTCAGAGGACAACTTGAGAAGCCACATTAAGTCATAGAATGATGTGTGCAAGACTTGGGGTTAGAAGCCCTTCTATTTTTCAGTATGTGTCATGCTGAAAGAGCTAAAGAAAGAATCTAAGCCTGGAGGTGCAATATTGAAAGATTTTATGAGCAAAATATTAAAAAATGGAAGAAGTATCCAAAGAAAATTAAACAAATTCTAAGAGACACTGTACTCAAAAGAATTAGTTGACAGTCACCCATTTAAAGGGCTCGCATGTAATAAAGAACCAATGGTGCTGAAGGAAGAAGTTGAAGCTACACTTTCAGGCAGTAGCCCAAAACAAGGATCAGGCATCGATGGAATACCAACTGAAGGGCTTCCATAAGCTTATGTAGCGCAGGAAGAACTCACTCAGTAGTACAAAGAAATATAGGAGACAGCTGTCTGGCCAACTGACTGAAAGAGATCCATATTTTCACGTCCTCAAAAAGAAAGGTTGGTCTAAGAGAATGTAGAAATTATCACACAATATTTTAATAACATATGCAAGTAAAAGTGTGCTAAAAATAACTCAAAAATAGCTTCAGTAATATATTAACTGGGAGCTACCAAAATTTAAACTGGATTTAGAAGACATGGCAGTAGGAATATAGATCTTGGTTGATAGATCTTGTCATTTGGTGGGAGTAATAAAGAAGAGTCACATTAAACAATTCACTACATTAAAATCATTCGTGGGCCTTTTTATAACTGTGGATAAATAAAAAGACCAAAAATGTATTCAGTAGTATTGAGAAATCCAATAATTTATCTCCAAGTCTGCTCATCTGAATCACTACTCTCTATTGTGTACTAGAACAGGACAGGCAGAAAATACCAGAAAGATATTTCCTTGTGTTTTACTTATGATGCAAAGGCATTGCACTGTGTGGATCTTCACAAAGTATGGATAACGTCAAGAAGGGAATTCAGAACCCTTAAGTGTACTCATGCGGAACCACTGCATGGACAGAGGCAGCATTTGGGACAGAGCAAGTGAAAACTGCATGGTCTTAAACTAGGAATAGTGTGCATGTGGGTGGTATTCATTTATCTTGCTTATTCAGCTTGTACCCTGAGCAAATAAGCAGAGAAACTGGATTGTGTAGAAAAAAACAACGCGCCAGGTTTGGAAGGAGGCATATTAACGACCTTCCACGTGCTGATGACGCT